CCTTGCGGGCTTGAAAAACTTTTCCCCTTTTCTCGCTACTATCGTTGGTTTTGAAATGTAGAAACAATCCGAATAACAAACGAAAAAAAGTCCTAGTTTTATTTATTTTGTCCAATTGGCAACGCTAGAACTTGCAAGTTTTGAATGTATACAGAGCTTTTGCCTTAATCTTGCAAACCAAAACAAACGAAATTAAAAGAAGTAAAAGCTTTCTATTATCCTTTGTTATTTCTATGCATGCGCGTGCAATGTACATGATAGTTTTAGTTAATATAAAATAAATATAATATAAAAAAAATTGAAAGAAAAATGTGTAAACTGTGGACATCAATAAAAAAATAAAGTAAAACAAAAATGTGATCTCTTATGGCAATGGCTGGTGAGGTGCACACTCATCTTATACCAAGGACAACGGCGGAAGAAACAGGTGCAGCGCGGAAATTGCATGGACAACGCGGGGCATATGAGGTAACATCATACACTTTATTTCACTACTTATTTTAACAAATCACCTCCTACACTCAGGCCTACATAATAATGTATTTATATGATGACTTGTAATTCTCATTAGGTGCATTTTTTTGTTTCCTTAAAAACTTTACATTTCATTTAAATAAAATGTTGATTAATTTTTATATAATAATTTGTGTTCTTGGAGTAATTCCTTCTAATTGCTTTAGGCATGTTCTATTCGTCTTTGTCGATTACAGGAGTAGTTAAGTGAAGCCTCTCGAAATCCACCATAAAATATGATGTTAATAAAAGGCAAACATTTTTACAAAATTCTTATTAAAATTTATGTGGAAGCTCACAATCTGAAGAAAATAAAATTAATTAATATTGGAATCAGTGTGGCCGCATCCCTGAAAAATATAATGCTATATCTGCTTTAAAAAAATGCTATTAAAATGCTAAATAAATGCTAAATAAAATGCTAAATGCTAAAATCAAATTTTGCAGCTATTTCACAAAAAAAAATGCTAAATCTAGCAGCAAAAGTGCTAAAACGGCAACTCTGACTGGAATAAAAAAACGCGGAGGTTGCAACAATGGAACACCAATATCCAGTTTTTGACAAAAACGGAAAGAATGAACTTGGATAACGATTGGAAGTAACTCATTGGAAAGATTTACAAAAGTGATATAGTAGACCGTGTTTTTATATAGGATTAATCTTTGCGACAGTAGCACCAAAGATACCTTCTTTACGCGACACTTCGCCAGTGGCAGTGTTAGGCGGCCATGCGCCCCTTATGGCCTCGCAAAAGGTTGTACATATTTCGTAAAACTTTCACTCCACTTACCAGAGAAAAAATGATTCAGTTACGTGAATAAGAGAAGCTTTTGACAATGGAAATATTCCGTATTAGTCGCAACTGTGTTAAATGTGAAAATCATAGTTTGGTTTTGACAAACGAATTCAAAAATGCAAGAGGATGTACTCAGAAAGTAAGATTTACTGCAGCTCCAATTGAGAAGCCTACATTTCTTATTCATTAAGCAAACCTACAAAAAACAAAAATCTACCTCTAAAACAAGATGGGAAAGTGGAATCGAAGCAGTAAAAACGATATATTTGCAATTTGATGAAGTTATAGAGTATCGTAATACTGGACAGGAAAATAGCGTTAAATAAGCCTAATTATTTGTAAGAAAAGTAGTTATAAACCAGATTTTATGTTATTGAAATGAATCATTCAATTCTAAATTGTGGGTTAATGGAGTTGGTAATAGATAGGGTTTGATAACTGTCTTTTGATTGACATTTACCCAATGTCTAGCAATCTGCATCACTTTTATTGTGAAACCCATTTTGTTGATAACAGTGACAAAATAACTATCGACAAATTTTCCCTCTGTCACCTAAACTCTTCTAAGTGGAGTTTATTATCTTCTTTCCTGAAGAACTGAGACGTTTTAACCACGAAATTGCACATAAATTTATAGAAAAAAAATAGCAAAGAAGCAACGAATGTTTAATTATGACCATATTATGACCTATACAATCCATTGAAATGGGATAAACAGTAAACTTTTTTACCACAATGATAGAAGCTACACTTAGTATATGAAAAATATGCTATACGAATATAAATAATTTATTAAAAAAATTGTTATGAAATTAGTTAGGTAATTGTAAAGTTTAGTTAAAATATATGAATTTTCTTTAATTAAAGTTTTTAAGTTAATCAATAATATTGATTCGTTATTTATAAATATATCTATATTAATATAGTTATAAAAAAAATCATAGAAATAAAATTCTTGTAATTGATGAAATTGTTCATATTAATATTTAAATTGAAAATGAAAATATCTCATTTGAAGCAATTACCGTGACATATAAACAAATAAAACTAATATTCCTCCTAAAAAAATTAAAAATGAAATATAACCAAATCAAAATGTTTTTGAAATTAATCCTGAAATAATTGAAATTAAAATTGTCTGAATTAATAATATTAAACCTATTGATAATGGATAATTTAAAAATAAGAGCATATATAATACTTGAAATTAATATTAAAGTTAATAATAATAGACGAAAAATTTCAAGAAATACCTTAAATAAAATATAAATTTTGGGAATTTTTATGATAAAGAATTTCTTTTTTCTTGAGAGTTTTAAAAGATTAATCTTATTTTTGTGAATTACAAGACCAATGTTTTTGTTAAACTATTAAAACTTAAAAAGTGATAGTTTATTTTTGATTATTTTGTTGTATAATAGTATTAATAAGAAATTTTTCTATTTCTAATCGAATTTCTAATCGGAAACATTTATTATCTATATTATTAAGTTTAGAATTTATTGTTTTAATAATTAATTTTTTTTTATATAGTTATATAAATATAATAGATTATAGAAATTATTTTATAATAATATATTCAACATTAAGAGTACGTGAAGGGGCTTTAGGGATTTCTATTTTGGTTTCTATAATTCGGACTCATGGCAATGATTATATTCAATCATTTAGAATTTTATAATGTTAAAATTATTTTTTTTATTTTATTTTTGATTCCTATTTGTTTCTTAAATAGAATATTTTGAATGGTTCAAAATATATTATTTTTTATTAGATTTTTTTTTATTTTATTTAATTTTTATAGAAATTATTTCATAAATATTTCTTATTTTTTAGGTTGTGATATAATTTCTTATGGATTAATTTTATGGAGATTTTGAATTTGTGCATTAATATTAATAGCAAGTGAAAAAATTCAAAAATTTAAGAATTATAATAATTTATTTTTAGAATATAAGTTGTAATTTAACGTCAAATATTCCAGACGAAAGTGACTATTATTTTTAATAGCAAACTTGTTATATTTCATAAAAAGGTTTTTTCGAACAGTAGTGAAATACAACAACAATGGAATGGAATATTTGACGTTAAATTACAACTTATATTCACAAAATATTGGTCTCGCCCGTGCGACTAGTGGAGTAACATTAGCATGACTTTCTCAGCATTACGTTCCTAGATTAGGTTCTATACATAAGAAAGAACAAATTATACAACAAATAATGCCTCTACGAACAGAATAGTATTGAAATTTAACAATTGAAAATAAAATTATAATTAATTAATTAATTCAATTATTCTACAGCTGGTTTGTGATTTCGTTCTAATATAAACACAGCAAGTAAAATTGTTAATAAAAAAAACAAAACTTTCATAGTAATAGTAACAAAATTCCAGAAAAATATTCGAACAAAAAAGTCAAGTACGTCTTTGGATCAGTTGGTTAAGGTGCGCTGATTCTGAGCTTCATATTTGGCAGGACCCGAGTTCGATTTCTGGTACTTGCAGTCTCAAAAAATAATTATTTACGAATAATTAAATACAAGAATTATTTCCAAGACCACTGATGATGGGTATTTGGCAATACTCGAAACAGTTGTATGATCAGCCAAAAATTCAATTAATTAAAATAATATAAAAAATAAATTTTTGTTGTTGTATTTCACTACTGTTCGAAAAAAACCTTTTTATAATAATTTATTTTTAGTTAATGAAATTTTTATATTTTTTTTAATTTTAACTTTTTCTAGAATAAATATTTTTGCTTTTTATCTATTTTTTGAAGGAAGTTTAATTTTAACTTTATTATTAATTTTAGGATGGGGGTATTAACCTGAGTGTTTACAAGCTGGAATTTATTTATTTTTTTATACTTTATTTGTATCTTTACCTATATTGATTGGAATTTTTTATTTATATGAAAAATCAGGAAATCTAAATTTTTATTTTTTAAGTAATTATATATTTAATTATGAATTATTATATTTTTCAATAATTTTAGCTTTTTTGGTTAAGATACCTATATTTTTAGTTCACTTATGATTGCCTAAAGCTCATGTTGAAACTCCAATTTCTGATTCAATAATTCTAGCTAGAAATATATTAAAATTAGGAGGATATGGTCTTTTACGAGTATTTTCTTTTATTTCATTTGTTTGTTTAAAATTTAATTATTTTTTTATTTTTATTAGATTTTCTTTAATTGGGGGTATTTTGGTTAGATTAAATTGTATACGACAAGTTGGTTTAAAATCATTAATTGCTTATTTTTCTGTTGCTCATATAGGGATTGTTTTGACAGGGATTATAAATTTCAGAAATGAGGAATTTGTGGAGGATATAGATTAATAGTTGATCATGGATTATGTTCTTCAGGTTTATTTTGTTTAGCTAATATTAGATATGAACGATTAGGTAGACGAAGATTACTAATTAATAAAGGATTATTAAATTTTATACCTTCTTTGACTTTGTGATGATTTTTATTCAGATCTGGGAATATAGTTGCTCCTCCTACATTAAATTTATTAGGGGAAATTTCTTTTATAAATAGAATTGTAAGTTGATCGTGGTATTCAATGATTAGTTTATCTTTTTAATCCTTTTTTAGAGCAGCATATACTTTATATTTATATTCTTATAGACAAATTTGGTTTAATATTTATTAATCAGGACTATTCAATTTTTTTAGAATGAGAATTAATTTCTTTAAATAGAGTTACAATTGTAATAACTTTTTTATTTGATTGGATAAGATTAATTTTTATATCTTTTGTTTTATTAATTTCATCTTTAGTAATTTATTATAGAAAAGAGTATATATCAGGGGATATAAATATTAATCGATTTATTTTATTAGTTTTGTTATTTGTTAGATCAATAATATTTTTAATTATTTCTCCAAATTTAATTAGAATTTTATTAGGATGGGATGGTTTAGGGTTAGTTTCTTATTTATTAGTAATTTATTTTCAAAATGTAAAATCTTATAATGCAGGAATATTAACTGTTTTATCAAATCGTATTGGAGATGTTGATTTATTATTAGCAATTGCTTGAATGTTAAATTATGGATCTTGAAATTATATTTTTTTATTAAAATTTAATATTTTAGATATAAATATATTAATTATTGGGGTATTAATTGTGTTAGCTGCAATAACTAAAAGAGCTCAAATTCCATTTTCAGCTTGATTACCTGCAGCAATAGCAGCTCCTACTCCTGTATCAGCTTTGGTGCATTCATCAACTCTTGTTACTGCTGGAGTTTATTTATTAATTCGGTTTAATTTATTAATTGGAGACAGAATTCTAGGACAGTGTTTGTTATTAATTTCAGGATTGACAATATTTATATCAGGGTTAGGAGCTAATTTTGAATTTGATTTAAAAAAAATTATTGCATTATCTACTTTAAGTCAATTGGGATTAATAATACGAATTTTATCTATAGGATTTTATAAATGAGCTTTTTTCCATTTATTAACTCATGCTTTATTTAAAGCATTATTATTTATGTATGCTGGGGCTATTATTCACAATATAAATAATTTACAAGATATTCGTTTGATAGGAGGTTTAAGAAGTTATATACCTTTTACATGTAGGTGTTTCAATGTTGCAAATTTAGCTTTGTGCGGTATACCTTTTTTAGCTGCGTTTTATTCTAAGGATATAATTTTAGAAATTGTATCTTTAAATTATATTAATTTATTTATTTTTCTTTTCTTTTCTACAGGATTAATAGGAATATCTATTCAATTCGTTTAGTTTATTATTCATTAGTTGGTAATTTTAATTTTTTAGTTTAAATATAGTAAGAGATAATAGATGAATTATGCTAAAAGGAATACTTGGATTATTATTTATAAGAATTAATGGAGGGGGTATTTTAAATTGATTATTATTTATGACACCTTCAATAATTTGTTTTCTTTTTATATTAAAAACATTAACTTTAATTGTTTGTATTTTAGGAGGATTTGTAGGATATTATATTTCAAAAATTTCTTTATATTTTTATAATAAATCTGTACAAAATTATTTTATTTAACTTTTTTTTTGTTCTATATACCTAATATAGATTTATAACTAATATTGTAACATATGGATTAATTTATAATTTTTTATTTTTGGGTAAAAAGTTATATAAAAGATTTGATCAAGGTTGATCTGAATTTTTTGGTGGATTTTATTTATATAAAAATTTATTAAATTATTCAAAATTTAATTAAATTTTACAAAATAATCGATTAATTATAATGTTAATAAGTTTACTTTTTTTTTGTATTAATATTTTTTGTTATTTGATATCTAAATAACATATAGTTAGAGTATTACGTTGAAGTTGTAAGGGAGATAAATTTATCTTTAAATATTTAATGTATTAAAATTAGTAATTTTTAAATAAAATATATTCATTTTTACAATGAAAATGTAATGTTTTTATTAAGTTAATAAATATTATATAGAAATTTAAATGAAATTTAACCATTAAAAAATAAAGTTAGCAGATTTTTTTTGTTCATCATATTTCTTTAATTGGAATTTTATTCAATTTTGTTATTAACAGTAATAAACCTCTATTTTGGTTTCAATTAAATATGGAAGAATAAGGGTAAATTTACCTAATTTTAGGTCGAAACTAAATGTGATTTACCACTTCATATTCCTTTTAAGATAGATTACATAAGTAATATTTTTTGAATGCAAAATAAATGTTAAATTTAACTACAATCTTAAATTAATTTAATTTTAGTTTAGTTAGATAAAATTAGTATTCCTTGATTTCATTCATGGTATACACCTATTAATAAAATAATAATAAAAATAATTTAAGCTTTTCTTCATATTAATAAGTTAGAAATATTTAAAATTATAATTATAGGTAAGATTAGAGCAATTTCAACATCAAAGATTAAAAAAATAATTGTAATCAAAAAAATGAAGTGAAAATGGAAATCGTGAAGAAGATTTTGGATCAAATCCACATTCAAAAGGGGAATATTTTTCTCGATCATTAAGTATTTTTTTTGATAAAATTGATGCTAGAAATATCACAATAGAACAAATTAATATAATAATTATTGCTATAAATATTAGTAGTAAGATTATCTAAACTATTATTAAATAGACTTTACAAGATATTGGAAGTCATACAGGGCTTTTTATATTATTTAGATAAATAGTAAGGTTAATTAACCACCTCATCAGTAAATTGAAATGTAAAGGAATAATCAAACAATATCGACGAAATGTCAGTATCAAGCACCAGCTTCAAATGCAAAATGGTTATTATTAGAAAAATGATTATTTAAATGACGAATTAAGTATATTAATAAAAAATTTGTTCCAATTAAAATATGAATTCCATGAAATCTTGTTGCTATCAAAAATGTTGATCCATAAATAGAATCGGCAACTGTAAAAGGTGCATCAGTGTATCCCTAAGCTTGTAAAATTGTAAAATAAATTCCTAATAAAATAGTGAAAAATAAACCTTGAGATGTTTGTGTATGATTATTTTCTATTACTCTATGATGAGCTCATGTAACAGTAACTTCTGAGGTTAATAAAATAGAAGTATTTAACAATGTAATTTGAAAAGGATTAAGAAGGATCATTTTTATTGGTGGTCATTTCTATGCGAAAAAGCTCAAAAAGAAGATATAAAAAATAAAATTTCAGATAAAATAATTGAAATTATTCCTCATCGTAAACCTGTTGTTACTATAAATGTATGTAAACCTTGATATGTTCCTTTTCGACATACATCTCATCATCATTGATAGACAGTAATAATAATAATAATATTTCCTAAAATTAATAATAATATATTATATTGATGAAATCATTTGATTATTCCTGAAACAATTGTTATTGCACTAATGGCTCCTGTTAAAGGTCAAGGACTATAATCTACTAAGTGAAATGGATGATTTGAATGAGTTGACATTAATTTACTTCTTTAAAGTAAAGTGTTCTTAATACTGCAAATACATATGATTGAATGATGGCTACAGCAGATTCTAATAATAATAATAAAATTTGTCTAAATAATAGAATAGATAAAATGAATTAAGTTAAAGAGGGCCTGTATTACCTAATAAAGTTAATAATAGATGTCCAGCAATTATATTAGGAAATAATCGAACTGCTAAAGTTCCTGGTCGAATAATATTTCTAATTGTTTTAATGCAAACTATGAAGGGTATTAATATTGCTGGAGTTCCTTGGAGAACTAGATGAGCAAATATGTGTTGTGTATGATTTATTCAACCATAAATTTAAAGAACTTTTTTTTTTAGTCATTCAAACATTATATTAAAAAAATTGTGAATAATTAAATACAAGAAATATTTCTAAGACCATATGTATGATGATATGTATTTGGCAATACTCGAAACAGTTGTATGGTCAGCCAAAAATTCAATTAATTAAAATAATATAAAACAGAATTTTCGAAAATCTTTTTATCAATTGAAACGAAAATAGCAGCTGGTACAAATTATGATATAATTTTAAAAAAATTCAGTGAAGCTAGAAGAAAGTTCATTTATCTCAATTTGTGTTTATTAACTTTAATTTAAAACTCCTATAAAGTTTTTACTGTCGTGATGGAGACAGCGATTATATGCTTGTTTTAACTGCTCGTAGAAAGTTTATTTCGTATTTGGTATAAGTTTGCCTTAATACGAATTTTAGCAAGTCTTTAGTTAATTGGTTAAAGGTTGAGACCAAGGTTCTCAGTCTTTGGCTTGTCTCAAATCCGACTTCGATTTCGTGATTTGTTGCATGACAGCTATAGTAGAAGTCACAATGTTCTCTTTCGGAGTGTCTTTGCTCCGTCCATTGTATTTTTTAGAAGAAGGTAATATTAGCCTTGTATTTTTACCAGCTGTAACCAGCTGTATAGATATACCTACCCCGTCAAGAGTTCAAACATTTAAGGCGCATATTCTGAAGTCGTGTTTCTTAAAACGTTTGTTGTTAACAGTAAATGGTTTTCTAATCCAGGGCTGACTCTTCATTTTAATTAAAGTTATGATTTTACATGGTGGTTTCCAAGCCCAGCGTATACGCGCATACATCCATGAGGAGGATTTCGCTGTACACATTAGTTTACTACTTATAGATTATTGTAAATATCTAGAGGGGTCCGTGTGAAGGCTGTTGTGTCAACTTGGAGGCAAGAATCATATTGGCATTAACTAAGTTAAATGCAATCGAAAACTTTACCTTGTATGAACCAGTACTTACTTGCTCCATACTATAGTTTACAAAACTCATAGTTATAAGACAGGATATCAAGCACTTATGAAAGCAGTTTAGGTAGTCGTTAAAGAAGCTTCTTAGGAGCTATTCTCTATTCTCTACTCGATACACACGTTTGATGTTCCTGAAAATAACGCGTTACAATTATTATTATAATATCTGCAGATGATACTGTAATTCAAACATTAAGTTCATCATCTATTGACGCTTCCAATGTTTCGCAAGTTATTTGCTTCAGCTAGAAATTTGGTTCAAAATTTAGAATATATACTTAAGAAAAGAGAACAAATATATTAAATTTGGTCACTAGTTTTCAAATTCGATAATAATTTAGTTTATCTAAGAAGTAGTGTCTTATTTAACGGATTGTCTTACTGAGTATTAGTGTAGTTGTGCAGGAACATAAAAGAATTTACTTATTGTCTTCTTAATGGGCAAAAATAGTTTCAGCATAATTTTCTGAAATTTAGTATATTTATCACAGTAACGATTCTATCTCTGGAATGGTTTTCCAGAAGAGTTGTACAATATCCATTTAGAGTTGCTAAAGTATTTGATTAAAATCGTTACTCAGACCTGTTTTTTATTCATTGATTCTGACAAGAGTTTCTTAAGCAGTCTATTTATTTTTTCTGTAGACCAAGTCTTCTGCACGGAGTTGAACATTAAGTTTCTCAAGTAGCCTGCAATAACAATCTGAGTAATCTGAATAATCTAACTGACTATTAGCTATTAGTCTACTGCCAACTCGTGGTTATGATAAATTAGAACTTCAAAGGCTGCTTTCATTAATACTAATAGTAAACTTATTAAACTTATATTGTTTAAGACTTCAACTCATTAAATTATGTATATAATATTTTAGTGAACAATACTCTTAACAAATCCTGATTTAAATGGTACAAGTTTTAAACTTTTTCCGTTTTGAAAATTTCTAATAAAATTTCTAGTCATCCAAGCATTCCGATTATTTTTTGAAATTTCATGTCAAACAAAAACGAACATTTTTAATTACAAACTAATATTTCTGAAAACAGTTTCGGCAAGGATGTGAATATAGCAAAAAAACTAATATTCACCAAATTTTATTTTTGATTTCAATAATGGCCAAAAACCTGTCAGATTGTAAAAATCCGGAACACAATTTCGTGATTGAAAAAAGTATATTATTGCCTTATGTAATAACTTCAGTGAACATATCGCGCAATGGAGAGATTGCAGCTTCTACGAGCAATGCGAATATAACATTACTTGACGCTATATCCAATGATGTTATTCAAGTTCTTCCATGTGAGATGGGTGCTACTAACCTGCAGTTCAATCACACCAATAACTCATTGTTGTTTAGTTGTATAATTTCCAATAACGTCGTTAAGTCACTTGACTATACAACTGGAAAATATTTGAATAAATATATCGACGGCAAGGCTGAGGTTCATTCCATTTCCATGCATCCTGAGAAAAATATGTTTGTTACTTCTAATGGAGACAAAACATTGAAATTATGGGATGAACGCTCTGGTAAAAAAATTGACTCCTCAACAATATCGGCACCTGGTATTGCAACTTATCACCCAGACGGCATTGCCGTTTTTGCAGCGAATCATAACGGCATGTTTGTGTACGACACTCGCAGATTTTCGAGTGGGTCTCTCATGGCTTATTTACCAGCACGCGCCTTCGATCAACTGCGTTGTGTTAGGATTTCGCCAAATGGTAAATTAGTTGCGGTGCTTGACGGTGATGTGGTAGAAATCTTGCTCACAAAAGAAATAACTCCGGTAAATAAGTATACTGGGTTTTCCACAGACAAAAATATTCCCGTCGATATGTGTTTTAGTGTTGATTCCTCCACGTTTATTACAAGCACTACCGATGGTGATCTGGCAATTTGGAATACGAACCAGAGCAAGGGCATGTACACAATTCGTAGTGATGACCTTCAGGCTATACAGAGTATGAAAATGAATCCTGAATACATGCAGTTGTGTACGGCTGCCGGAAGAAATTTAAGCTTTTGGCAGTTAGGTCAAAATTATGTGAAATTGTTTAATGAGACATATAAATCACTAATTGGATCAAATATTTCTCAGAGCTCATTTGAACTAGAATTTAAAGTTGATCCTACTCCATCAAATGGACTTATCAAAATTGAAAGTGTAGAAGATGTTTTACATTCATACGAAGGCGCTGAGCCTTCTATAATAATAGGCGCTGAGCCTAATAATAATAATATTTCCTAAAATTAATAATAATATATTATATTGATGAAATCATTTGATTATTCCTGAAACAATTGTTATTGCACTAATGGCTCCTGTTAAAGGTCAAGGACTATAATCTACTAAGTGAAATGGATGATTTGAATGAGTTGACATTAATTTACTTCTTTAAAGTAAAGTGTTCTTAATACTGCAAATACATATGATTGAATGATGGCTACAGCAGATTCTAATAATAATAATAAAATTTGTCTAAATAATAGAATAGATAAAATGAATTAAGTTAAAGAGGGCCTGTATTACCTAATAAAGTTAATAATAGATGTCCAGCAATTATATTAGGAAATAATCGAACTGCTAAAGTTCCTGGTCGAATAATATTTCTAATTGTTTTAATGCAAACTATGAAGGGTATTAATATTGCTGGAGTTCCTTGGAGAACTAGATGAGCAAATATGTGTTGTGTATGATTTATTCAACCATAAATTTAAAGAACTTTTTTTTTTAGTCATTCAAACATTATATTAAAAAAATTGTGAATAATTAAATACAAGAAATATTTCTAAGACCATATGTATGATGATATGTATTTGGCAATACTCGAAACAGTTGTATGGTCAGCCAAAAATTCAATTAATTAAAATAATATAAAACAGAATTTTCGAAAATCTTTTTATCAATTGAAACGAAAATAGCAGCTGGTACAAATTATGATATAATTTTAAAAAAATTCAGTGAAGCTAGAAGAAAGTTCATTTATCTCAATTTGTGTTTATTAACTTTAATTTAAAACTCCTATAAAGTTTTTACTGTCGTGATGGAGACAGCGATTATATGCTTGTTTTAACTGCTCGTAGAAAGTTTATTTCGTATTTGGTATAAGTTTGCCTTAATACGAATTTTAGCAAGTCTTTAGTTAATTGGTTAAAGGTTGAGACCAAGGTTCTCAGTCTTTGGCTTGTCTCAAATCCGACTTCGATTTCGTGATTTGTTGCATGACAGCTATAGTAGAAGTCACAATGTTCTCTTTCGGAGTGTCTTTGCTCCGTCCATTGTATTTTTTAGAAGAAGGTAATATTAGCCTTGTATTTTTACCAGCTGTAACCAGCTGTATAGATATACCTACCCCGTCAAGAGTTCAAACATTTAAGGCGCATATTCTGAAGTCGTGTTTCTTAAAACGTTTGTTGTTAACAGTAAATGGTTTTCTAATCCAGGGCTGACTCTTCATTTTAATTAAAGTTATGATTTTACATGGTGGTTTCCAAGCCCAGCGTATACGCGCATACATCCATGAGGAGGATTTCGCTGTACACATTAGTTTACTACTTATAGATTATTGTAAATATCTAGAGGGGTCCGTGTGAAGGCTGTTGTGTCAACTTGGAGGCAAGAATCATATTGGCATTAACTAAGTTAAATGCAATCGAAAACTTTACCTTGTATGAACCAGTACTTACTTGCTCCATACTATAGTTTACAAAACTCATAGTTATAAGACAGGATATCAAGCACTTATGAAAGCAGTTTAGGTAGTCGTTAAAGAAGCTTCTTAGGAGCTATTCTCTATTCTCTACTCGATACACACGTTTGATGTTCCTGAAAATAACGCGTTACAATTATTATTATAATATCTGCAGATGATACTGTAATTCAAACATTAAGTTCATCATCTATTGACGCTTCCAATGTTTCGCAAGTTATTTGCTTCAGCTAGAAATTTGGTTCAAAATTTAGAATATATACTTAAGAAAAGAGAACAAATATATTAAATTTGGTCACTAGTTTTCAAATTCGATAATAATTTAGTTTATCTAAGAAGTAGTGTCTTATTTAACGGATTGTCTTACTGAGTATTAGTGTAGTTGTGCAGGAACATAAAAGAATTTACTTATTGTCTTCTTAATGGGCAAAAATAGTTTCAGCATAATTTTCTGAAATTTAGTATATTTATCACAGTAACGATTCTATCTCTGGAATGGTTTTCCAGAAGAGTTGTACAATATCCATTTAGAGTTGCTAAAGTATTTGATTAAAATCGTTACTCAGACCTGTTTTTTATTCATTGATTCTGACAAGAGTTTCTTAAGCAGTCTATTTATTTTTTCTGTAGACCAAGTCTTCTGCACGGAGTTGAACATTAAGTTTCTCAAGTAGCCTGCAATAACAATCTGAGTAATCTGAATAATCTAACTGACTATTAGCTATTAGTCTACTGCCAACTCGTGGTTATGATAAATTAGAACTTCAAAGGCTGCTTTCATTAATACTAATAGTAAACTTATTAAACTTATATTGTTTAAGACTTCAACTCATTAAATTATGTATATAATATTTTAGTGAACAATACTCTTAACAAATCCTGATTTAAATGGTACAAGTTTTAAACTTTTTCCGTTTTGAAAATTTCTAATAAAATTTCTAGTCATCCAAGCATTCCGATTATTTTTTGAAATTTCATGTCAAACAAAAACGAACATTTTTAATTACAAACTAATATTTCTGAAAACAGTTTCGGCAAGGATGTGAATATAGCAAAAAAACTAATATTCACCAAATTTTATTTTTGATTTCAATAATGGCCAAAAACCTGTCAGATTGTAAAAATCCGGAACACAATTTCGTGATTGAAAAAAGTATATTATTGCCTTATGTAATAACTTCAGTGAACATATCGCGCAATGGAGAGATTGCAGCTTCTACGAGCAATGCGAATATAACATTACTTGACGCTATATCCAATGATGTTATTCAAGTTCTTCCATGTGAGATGGGTGCTACTAACCTGCAGTTCAATCACACCAATAACTCATTGTTGTTTAGTTGTATAATTTCCAATAACGTCGTTAAGTCACTTGACTATACAACTGGAAAATATTTGAATAAATATATCGACGGCAAGGCTGAGGTTCATTCCATTTCCATGCATCCTGAGAAAAATATGTTTGTTACTTCTAATGGAGACAAAACATTGAAATTATGGGATGAACGCTCTGGTAAAAAAATTGACTCCTCAACAATATCGGCACCTGGTATTGCAACTTATCACCCAGACGGCATTGCCGTTTTTGCAGCGAATCATAACGGCATGTTTGTGTACGACACTCGCAGATTTTCGAGTGGGTCTCTCATGGCTTATTTACCAGCACGCGCCTTCGATCAACTGCGTTGTGTTAGGATTTCGCCAAATGGTAAATTAGTTGCGGTGCTTGACGGTGATGTGGTAGAAATCTTGCTCACAAAAGAAATAACTCCGGTAAATAAGTATACTGGGTTTTCCACAGACAAAAATATTCCCGTCGATATGTGTTTTAGTGTTGATTCCTCTACGTTTATTACAAGCACTACCGATGGTGATCTGGCAATTTGGAATACGAACCAGAGCAAGGGCTTGTACACAATTCGTAGTGATGACCTTCAGGCTATACAGAGTATGAAAATGAATCCTGAATACATGCAGTTGTGTACGGCTGCCGGAAGAAATTTAAGCTTTTGGCAGTTAGGTCAAAATTATGTGAAATTGTTTAATGAGACATATAAATCACTAATTGGATCAAATATTTCTCAGAGCTCATTTGAACTAGAATTTAAAGTTGATCCTACTCCATCAAATGGACTTATCAAAATTGAAAGTGTAGAAGATGTTTTACATTCATACGAAGGCGCTGAGCCTCTGACATTCCGCACTGCAGTTCTGCCTGAGTCTGTATCATCAGACTGGCCATCTATATCAAGTTCGACGGTATTTGATGAGGTTAGTATGTTTGTAAACTCAACAGCAATACTTAGAACAAAACGTAGTGAACCAAGCACATCTTCTGAAGAAAGTCACTTTGAATTGAAATAAATGCAACAATGAAGGATCTTTTTTATAAAACATATTTGTTTAGCTAAATACAAATACCAAAAACATTTCTCTGCAACACTAAATAAATTAAAAATTTTAAAGTTGAAAGTTGAGTGTTTAAAATTTTTAATCATAATCTTGAATATTAAAAATTCATTAGTAACTGTTGTGTCAGCTTTAATGGTGTTGATGTTGTTCTAGATGCCTTGCATGGTATGGCGGCTCGCACGGTGACAGCTGTCATCAAACAAAAAAAAAATAGAAAAACTGAGTCATTAACTATTCTAATCTAACAATATAGATTGTTTACTATCCCTCCAAAAAAAAATTTCTGTTTTGTCAGTCGGTTTGAGTTTATCCTCCCTATGATTTTCTATGAATCGTGATGTGACCCCCTACATCCGACTTATTTTGTCCTACGTCGTCAGTGTTTTCTGCCTATTTCATTCTGATCTACTCGCCCCTTACCTCACCAGTGCACCCTTCGACCAACTTATTATCTAAAAATGAATCCTACTTATATGATGAGAAGAAGAACAAACGATTTTCTTTCCTATTAAAGAGGAGGAGCGATTAAAAATTGCAAATTGAATTTTGTTTTTTTATTTGATTTAATTTCCATGTTAAATAAATATCTCAAATTTAAAAATTTATGTAATTAATATATTAAACAATATTAAAGAAAAAAAGATGTATATAAAAACAATAATTATAGATAAAGTAAATATATATTGTAATGAACCTTTTCACGGCCGTTGATAGCTGGGATAGCTCACGGCCTTCCCGAGGTGTTACAAGAATGTTTTTTGTAATACCTAGTTTTTTCGTAATATAATATATTTAAACTATAGGTTAATTTTGAGACTAATTTTTATTTATTATATATTTTTTTGTTAAAATATATCTATTAACTATTACCAAAATAATAATTTTTCAAGTAAATAGTTTCTAAAAAGTTTCTGAAATAGGAAAACCCAATTAGTGTTAGGAAGGGTATCTAACGTTACCGACTGGGAACGTTGGGAAACAACGTTAGCGACGGTACTACGTTGTTAGGAATTGGCGTTACCAACTGGGCTATGCTGGTTGGTTGGGGATCAACGTTACCCACTGGGTCACGCTGCTAAGAATCAGCGTTACCGACTGGGCTACGCTGGTTGGTTGGGAATCCACATTACCAACTGGGCTACGATGGTAGTTCCATAAATTTACCAATTATCTTGTTCGAATAATCTTAGTTAGTATTCTAAAGGGTCTCTGTTACCAGTGCTGCTAATTAGTATTCTGTTGAAGCGTCGTGCTGCGACGTGCACTGTTCTACGTGCTGCGATCAAGTCTCCTCTGTTTGATCTCCTCTGTTTCTTCTCGTTCTATATGAATTTCGCCAAGCGGGACTTTTACATTTTGATTTGTTATTGACTACCCTAACTGCTTGCGACTGCTTTGGTTGTTGTTGTTGTCGATTCTGCTATGCACATTTTATTAAAAATTTGGCAAAACAAATAACACACCCAAAAAAATGGGAAGTGTTATGATTTAATTTATTTTTAAAGGAAAATTATTATTACTAATCTATTATTATAACTCAAATTTAATAGTTTACGCTTAATAATAACTAGAATTAATTTTTTATTATGGCGGGGTGGTAATTTGTTATAGTCGTCACAATACTATATTTTAAAGTATATGGGTCATTCTTTTACAACTCGGACACCTTTTTGACCTCATGATCTCCGATTTGGCTGAAATATTTTATCTCATTGGCTGAAATATTTTTTCCCATATCTCGGGTAAAAATTTTGTGATTTTTTTTCTAGGAGATATGGATCTATAGGGTTTTGAGAATTGGCATAGTAGACACATTTTCAAATGGCTATATCTCAAGTTCTATAAAAGGTAGAAACTTGAAATTTACAGAGTTTGAAAGATAATTGATTGAACTTTTATGAAATTGTTTAAACAATTAAAATGGTTTATACTTAAGTACTAATATTAACCGCTAAATTTCAAAAAAAAATTTTCTTAAAATACGTCCCCAGGGATTTTAAATGTACAGCAGTTGTGTTGTGATGTAAACAGTCAGATATGCAAACAAAATTTTTTATTTGTAGTTTTTTATTTTCATCACGGTGGTATATTGCAAAAATATGAATTGTTGCCTGATTATTATTCCAGTGAATACCTTGAACAGAATTTTGAACAACAAAATCATAATTTTCGGAAAAATCACGCAAAACTATGCATTCAGTTTTTGTTAAGTTGCTTTTCTTATAATTTAAAAACTCTGCCTGTTTTTTAACAATAAAAGAATGCAACAGCAATTTGTCTAAACCATCTGTTAAGGATTACAAATATTTGTCTATTTGGGATATCAACGTTTTTAATGTGCTTCTCTCTTCACGAACCCATTGTTTGTATGTAACGGTGTCAATCATGTTGTCATCAAATATCTCCAGAAGTTGTTCATTGATGTTTTCAGTTCCAGGACATTTGGACATCTTTATAGTTATTTATCGGCTTTTTACTGCATGCAATCAGTGCTTTTATATTCGCTCCATCTACCATTAATCTTACGTTTTCATGTATGGAGCACTCACAAACTGAATGTGTGCCGCTTGCTCCTGCAAGAACATAATGTTGTGGTCGTAGAGATGCAAATTTTGAAAAACTACATTACAGGTCTGAATGGTTGAGTTTGAAAAGAGTGTGCAACTCCTTCAAATTGCTTAGAATTAGCCGTTTTTGTATTTGTGTCCTTTTTCCGTCGATTTTTACGGATACGCAGTCTTTTTTCCCAGGCATTACTTGACTGTTTTCATCACATTCGTAAAAGTTTAAAATTGCATCGGTTACATGTTTTCCTAGCGATGGATCGCTTTTTGGATTTGGGTCTTCTAAGATTCATTTTTCTGAAGTAAGTTTTTTAGCAACAGTAGTCATACATTTTATAGCGTTTGGCCCTTTCGGTCGTGACCCTTTCGGATAGACCAATTATGTATCACACCCACTATTTTTATTTTCATAGTTCTATCTGCTGTGCTATTAAACTTTTCCTGCAGATTTTTTAAAATTGATGCGAGTCATCTTCTTCATCGCTATTCTTAGAGTTATCCGCAGGAATATTAAAAATTTTAAATTTGTGATTTATTTATGCAATAAAAATTCTTCTTAAAAAACGTCCTTAAAAGTTTCATTTTTATGTAGAATTTAATGATAAACTCAATTCAGAAATAAAAAGTAAACATTTTTGTATCGCTTTCCTTCGAAAATTGATTTCATGGTACTTTGGTGCGTATGAGTAACGTGAAGGACACTTGATTAATTAATTTTTTTTTAATTACTTCTAAAATGAATATCACAGTGGAAGTATTTATTTTTAAAGTAGAATTTATATATTAATCTGAATTAAAAATAATAAAAAAATTTGTGTGGCAGGTTCCTTTTTTTTTTTTTTGTTACTGAAAAATCGTGTGTATGTTTTTGGTGTGATATGAAGGATAAATAAATTTTTAAAAGTACTTCTAATTACAATATCGTCCTGAAATTTTTGGGTTTTATGTAGAATTTTATTATTAATCGAAATCAAAAATATTATATAAGAATATATGTAGTGTATTCTTTGAAAATTCATTCAATGGAAATATAGTACGCTTGTGCTTGATGTGTTTTGCGGTAGAAAAAAAAATATCAAAAAATTTTAAAAAATAAAGGGTTCATGGAAATTTTTATTTTGAAGTAAAATTTAAAACTAAATCTAAATAAAATATAAGAAATGAAAATTTTGTGTACATGCTTTGGGAAAAATTTTTTTTTTAAATTTAGCGGCTAATATTAGTACTTATATATAAACAATTTTAATTGTTTAAACAATTTTTGAAAAGTTCAATCAATTGTGATTAAAACGCAAAAAATTTTAAGTATCTTTTATTTATATAGCCTGAGACAAAACACCATGAGTCCATATTACGTAGGAAAAAAATCACAAAATTTTTTCCCCAGATACGGATCTTTTTATTTTATGAAAGAAGCTCAGCCAAATCGGAGATCATGAAGTATTTTTTGTCAGAATCCGTCCGGTTTGTATAAGAATGACCCACATACAGATATAGATTGCATATGAATGATGCTATGACTGGATAGATTTGTCAGGACAGAATTATGATAATGGTGTCAACATGGTCGGCATTATTAAAGTTGAAACTTGCTTTTGATTGACGGAGTTAATTATTTTACAACAGCAAATACTTTCTTCGTGTTTATCAATAAAATCTGTTTGGATTTTTCAAAGTCGAGCAAACGTTAATAAAATAAGAAATTGCACCTAAATTGAAAGAAAAAATAGTAAAATAATATAAAATTAGAAATCGACTAAAGAAATACAATATTGCTCTCATCGCTGAAAAACTAAAAGAAAATTGGCTGAGGTGGTATAACCTTATAAGTAAATTATAAGTAAAACACTAAAATCATAACCATAAAAAAACCAGAAGCAATAAGAAACCTTATAGAAAAATTGGAAATCCGTAATCAACCTACATAAATACAATTTTCAAGGAATTAAAGGAGTAATGCCTACAAAATGAGACAATGTAATAGAAATGATAGTTGCGCCTTGTCGATCCCTGCTTCCCCTTAGGAATAAGGCAAGGCGAAATAAATAGTTCTTGCTGTTGCAAATAATTGGCTCTTCAATCATTAAGGGCGTTCCTGGGAAACTTGTCGAACGATTTATCAGATTTGCAATTAAGTATTATATTCAATGAATATAGTTAAGTTGAGTTGAAATGAAACGCACTCCTCTGCAGTACATTTATACCTGACTCTTTATTTGTTTCTCAAAAATCTTAAAATCTAAAATTATAGTAATTGTCTTAAAAACTAAAAGAGAATCTTACAGTATAATTATAATTAGGTGTGGTTCACACACATATTATGATATAATGATGTATAATTATGATTATGATATATTATATATAATTATGATTATGATGTATTAAGTA